TTATTTGGCAAGGTGCTATTTAATTTCCATATGTTGATGAAGTTTTGTGGTTTCTTTTGCCATTGATTTCTAATTTCATTGCAGTATGGTCTGATAATATGCATGGGATAATTTCAAATCCTTTACATTTACTTAAGCGTGTTCTATGAGCAGCTATTTTGGATAATGTCCCATGTGCAGCTGAGAAGAATGTGCATTCTGATGTTGTGGGGTGGGACACTCTGTAGACATTTACCAAATCTATTTGTTCAGAAGTTTGGTTCAACTATGATATTTCATTGTTAATTTTTTTGTCTAGTTGATGTCTGTTTGTTACAGTAGGGTATTGACATCTCCCATTTCAGTTGTATTAGTACTTATTTGATTTTTTGTGTCTGTTAATATTTGCTTTATATACTTGGGTGCAAATGTCTTTCAGCACATATATATTTGTGATTGTTATCTCTTCCTCTTGGGTTGTTCCCTTAACAAGGATGGAATGATCTTCTTTGTCTCTTGATCAGTCTTGGCTTGAAATCCGCTTTGCAAACAGAATAGCCACCCCTGGTTTTTTCCAGATTCCTGTTGCATTGGTATTGTTTTCTATCCTTTGATTTTCTATGAATTTCTTTCTGAATTAAATGTATTTCTTGTACACAGCATATTGTTGATCTTGTTTCTTGATCAATTTTGCCAGTCTGTTTCTTTTGATTGGTGAATTGAGACCATTTACACTGATGATTATAACATATATATTAATTTATCCTTGTCGTGTTATTTGCCTGTTGTTGGTTCCCTTTATTTCTCCTCTGTTTGATTACTTTCTTTGTTTGGTGCAATCATTCTTTTGGGATTTATGGAGTTGTATTCTTCATTATCTCTTTCTAGGATGTCCTTCAGAACATTTTGGAGAGCTGATTTGGTGGTTATGAATTTCTTTAGGTGTTCTTTGTCATGGAAGTATCTTATTTCTCCCTTAATTTTGAAAGACAGCTTTGAGGGTTTTATTAATCTGGGTTGGAGGTTGTTTTGTTTTAGGCCTTGAAATATTTCACTCCAAGCTCTCCTTGACTTAAGGATTTGTGTTGGGAAGTCAGCTGTGACTGATTTACTTTCTTTTGTAGGGGACTTGTTTCTTTTCTCTAACAGCTTTTAATATTCTGCTTTTGTGTTAAATTTCTGGAATCTTAATTATTAAATGCCCTACTATAGATATTTCTTTGTTATGGAATGTCTATGTGCCTCACCTATCTGTATATCAAATTCTTCTTATATCCTTGGGAAATTTTCTGCCATTGCTTCTCTGAACAAGTTTTTTTAAAAAAATGTCATTTGCACTAATTCCTGCTTTTTCATCAACTCCAATAAATATTGTGTTATTCTTCCTTGTATAATCTAGCAGTTGGCTGCATTGATTTTTCATGGTTCCTTGCTATTTTTAAGAAATCTTTCTTTTCCTGATTGCTGATTGAAATCTTGTCTTCTAAGTCTCATATTCTGTCCTCATATTGTTCATTCTGCTGTGCATACTTTTAATAGAATTTTTAATCTCCTGGATATCTGTTTGAATCCCTTTCATAGATTCCATATTTTTCCTATGTTGGTGTTCATGGTTTTCCATCATTTTCCTAAGCTCTTCTATTTTTAAAAATCTGCATGTAGTTTAGATAAAAAAGCCAGCTGTAGAATCTGATTTAAAGAAATACAGGAAAAGGAACAAAAATCAGGAGGAAACACAGTTCCCATGTATTAGAATCAATAATTATATTAATTATAATGAAGTGATGGGCCAGGGATTTGGCTCAGTGGTTCTGCTACCTGAGTTGCAAGCACAAGGGCATGAGTTCGATCCCTGGTACCACAAAAAAAAAAAAAAATTATAATGAAGTGGAAGAAAACTATGAGAATGATGAATGATGAAGTAATAAAGATATGACAATTATGTCTATAAAAAGATCTAGTTATTATATATTTTCTCCTAATCCCAGTTTTGATATATGCTGTTATAATTGATTGGCAATATATTACATTGCTTTTTTTAGGATATCAACCAGTATTTTAGCATGCAACTACAAACTGTTTTTCTTTTTAGAGTCTGTCTCTATCACTGTAATTATATCAATATATAATAATGTGGTTTCATTTTAGTATTATGTTTATGAACACGACTTACATATTCTTGCAGTATATCTAAAAGTTAAATTAACAAAGAGTGGCCAGGGATTTAGCTCAGTGCTGCCACATCTGCCTCACAAGTGCAAGGTCCTGAGTTCAATTCCAGTACTGGAAAAAAAAGAAATTTACAAAGATAACACTTTATAAAGAATCTTATTTTGAGATAAAAATATTTTAATTATCTTGGACTTTACCTAATGCAATAATTACAATTAGTAACTAGCTGTTTCTTTTCCAGTGTTAAGACAGAATTCATGGGATGCAATTACATGGCAGGAGGTAAGAATGCATTTTAACTTTTAATTTGGTAATAAACACCTACCTTATACTTAAAATTACAGAGTTTTATCTATGAAACACATCTTCAAGAATCATAATGTGATGTCTACTTTATGGATGAGGAAATAGAGGACCAAAAATAAAATACGTTTTGCTCAAGTTTTTGTAGCCAGCAATTGGTGAAAACTGGGCTTGAATTCAAGCCTGTGTGTTCAGAAGTCTACACACTTTTTAATGCACCCCAATGTTGTCTGTGTGCATAGAATACTTAATACTTTAAAAACCATTTCTCAGGGTGCAAGTCAGCTTTTATACAGTATTTCATGGAAATTTGTTATGAATATTTTCTTTTTGAATATGTCTTAGTTTATTTGGGCTGCTAAAATGAAATGTCTTAGACTAGGTGACCTATAAACAGTAGAAATTTATTTCTCACAGCTCTGGAGCCTGGAAAACCCAAAACCAAGGCACTGGCAGATGGTGCCTTCCTCATAGATGGTGCCTTCTAATTATGTCCTCAGACGATGGAAGGGACAAGGCAGATCTGTGTGGCCTCCTTTACAAGGACACTAATTCCATTTGCGAGGGCTCCACTTTCGTGGTCTAATCACCTGCCAAAGGTTTACCTCGCATTACCATCACATTGGAGGTTAGGATTACAGTGTAGTGAATTTTGGGGAAACATGAATGTTCAGATAATAGCAAGAAGTAGGCTAGATGGATACTGAATTTTGGGGGGTAGATGTTGGCTTTGTCACCACCAATAATTAAGTGACACATAAAAGTCTTTGGATGGTTAACTCTAGTAATGTCTTAATTTCTAAGTATCATTAATATTTGTTTCTCTGAGTGAGAAAAATAATGACTCCAGAGTCAATAATGACTATACTTTGCTTTTCTTATTGGGATTTAGTGAGAGGTAACATTCCATTTCTAGTGACAAGTCCTCAGGGCAGCTAGATCAGTGAGTGACAGTCTGATGCTTGTGAATGGGAAGCCAGGGGAGTGGAGAGGAAGAGAGGTGCCATGGTGGTGCTTGCTGAGCAGAAGGTAAATGGTATAACTTGAATGTGGTTTGTCTCCCAAGGGTTTATATGCAGGAAGTTTGGTTGCTAGAGTGTCAGTATTGAGGGGGTAGAATCTTTAAGAGGTAGGGTATAGTGGAAGGTGATTGGGTCATTAAAGACTGAGCCCTTGGAAGGAATTAATGTATTACAAGACCTTGGTTATTTTCTGTAAGAGGGAATTGTTATACAAGAGCAAGCCTGGCCCCTTTTTGTCTCACCATGCGAGCTCTTTCACACATTTTCCTGCCTTAATGCACCCACCATGTTGTGACGCAGCAAACACGGCACTCACAAGTTCTGATAAGCTGTCAGCAGCATGCTCTTGAACTGTGAACTAAATAAACTTCCTTTATGTAGCTTCAAGTATTTTTTTATAGCAACAGAAAATAGACTAAGACCAACTCTTCATGATGAATGTAATCAGTATGTACTTAAAAAACAGTGACTGTACAATGAATTATATGTTATCTCCAATACCTTGCACTGGCAAAATAAATTAAGCAGCCAAAGCTAGGACAAATTCTTGATCCTCTGAATTCTTTCTATATCACCTGCCTGGTATATGCTTAACATATTATGACATAGTTAATTTGGGGTTCAGTGGACAAAGAAGAAAAGTTTATAAGACATGATGGTAATGACCTTCAACATATCTGCTGCAGGCTCATGAATGTGAAATTTTATACATTGTAGGGAAATGTAGTTTTAATTTCACTTTCATCTTCTCTTATCAGAGTAATTTTTAGTCATTGCTGAAAATTAGTTAATAAGTTATACATGACTTGTTATTTGTTACAATGTGAATTTCTGTATAAGATGTGAATTGTCAATCATTATTTCTCCTCTCATCTTGAACTTGTCCTTTATGTTTTTAAAGGCCCATTATAACTTTTAAGACTCTCCTTGCCCTGCAGGTTCCACATGTATAGTTTCAACCACATTTCTCTCCTCTCACAGAGCAGCAGAGGAAAACAGACCATAAAGCAGGTCATGGCAGATGCGATAATGTATGAATACCACATCATTGCAAAGACTGTACTTCCTTTTTGTATACTTTTCCAGGGCTAACACATTTCATTCTAGTCTACAGTAAGATTCATTAACTGTATGTAGCACTATTCACATTTGAAACTAGACTACTCTTTATTGTAAGTCTGTCCTGTGCATTGTGAGATGTTTAGCTGTGTCCCCAGCCTGTGCACATTAGACGCCAATAGCTGCATCTCCCTCACACCAACAGTTGTGGCAACAAAAATATCTCCAGACATTGCCAAGAATCCCTGGTTAACAGGGAGGGAGAAATCACTCCTAGTTAAGAATAACTGCTCTGGCGGAATGAATCTATCAAGAAATAAAGGTGTTCTAATGTAACTGAATTTCTGTTAGGGCAACTGAGGGATTTTCATAGTGTACTTTTTTGGGAGAACATTTGACATATTTATATCTGCTTTTGCTTTTAAAATTCACACTTCCTTTTTCTCTTTCCTGGTTTAAAAGGTGAATGTGGGTGACACTGTGAAGGCCTCGAATGGGGAGTTCCTTCCTGCAGACATGGTCCTGATTTCTTCCAGGTTAGTTCTGTTGGGGCATTTGAGTAACTTTTATTCTGAACTGGAAATTTTAAGAAAACCAAGAGCAGAAGATACTTTTCCCTACCTCCTCATTTTCACCTTATTGTAGACCAGTGGCTGCAGTTTTTCTGTAAGGAGGAGATAATTAATATATTCAACTTTATGGATCATGCGGTCTCTCTTGGAACTATTCAACTCCACCTTTGTTAGAAGAGCCATAAGCAATATCAGTGTGGCTATACTCCAATAGCATTTTATATATAAAAACAGGTAGAAGCCACTCGTGGCTTGTTGGACATATTTTGTCCATCCTTGTTAAATACTTTTATTACCTTTAATTTCCATGGATATATTTTCTTTTGTTCTGATGACTGATTAATTTGATTCCTTCTGTATGTTCTACAGACATTCTTCTAAGCTGAAAAAATACAGATTTACCTCATTTCAGTCTCATGGTACTTGAAGTATTCTCATTCTAAAAGCACACTGACTAACACAGATAAAGTAATTTATACAATATCCTCAGGTGGGCTTGAGTTAAGCCTAGATTTAAAAACATAGCTTCGGTTTGTTTTGTTTTGTTTTGTGGACTGTACTGCTTTATTCACCAGCTGTTTCGGAGGGAAGTTTACAGAAACTCTCTGTAGGAGGTACTTCCGTCCCAGGAGGTCTTATTTGACTACCTGCAATTTTGCTCCTACCTTGAGTACTCTGAGGATCCCGGCTACCTGCTCCTTGAGTTCACTGTAAAATCATGGTCTGGACCGGGGTGAACAAGGGTTAGAGTAACCACAGTAACAAACAGGGAAAATCACCTGAGAGTGACATGCTTGGCCAGTTGGGCCCCCAGACCAAGTCACAGTCATCTTCAAGGGATCCATAAAACATTTTAGACTTCTAGACAAACACTGCCTTGGAGCATGGATTTCTTGAGAAGAGAGACCGATTCATTCTGGAGCCATTCTCTAAGCTTTTGGAAAAGAAGCAATAAGCTATACAACCTTTTATTTCTGCCAGGTACACTTGGTTCTTTTGTTTTTAGGGCATGAACCCTGTCAACAAAGAAACTTTAACCCCTTTCTTCCCATTTCACAATGTCAGTACCCTTATTAGGATCTTATGTATTATTACAGTTTATTCACACCAGAGAAAATATTCGGTATTTACACATGTTTGACTTATTTATTTCACTTACGAGTATATCTTCAATATGTATCTATTTTCCTATGAATGAATCTATTTTCTCATTCTTTATGGCTGAGTAATATTCCATTTTATAGAAAAACCACATCTTCTTTATCCAATTTCCAATGGATGGGCAAATGGGCTGTTTCCAAGTTTTAGCTATTACAATCTGTGCTGCTATAAACATGGGTGTGCATACATCACTGTGATATGATTCTTTTAGTTCTTTTGGAAAGATACCCAGCAGAGGGATGGCTGGGTCAAATGGAACCTCCAGTCCAAGCTCTTTGAGGTATCTCCATATTGAATTCCATAGTGGTTGCACTAGTCTGCACTCCCACCAACAATGGAGAAGGGTTCCTTTCTCCCCAAAACCCCGCCAACATTTGTTATTGTGTGATTTCTTGATAGCAGCCATTCTTTGTGGGGTGAGGTGGAATCTCAGTGTTGTTTTCATCTGCATCTCTCGAATGACCAGTGATGTGCAGCATTTTTTAATATATTTACTTGCTGCTTTTACTTCTTTATCTGATAAATGTCTGTTCATTTCAGATGCCCATATTTGAATCATGTCTTTATATTCAGGGGAGCTGATTGTTTTGAGTTCTTTATATATTCTAGATAATAGTCCTTTGTCTGAGGAGCAGCTGGTACAAATTTTTTCCCAAATTGTAGGTTGTCTTTTAGTTTTTCTGATGGTTTCTTTTGCAGTACAGAAGCTTTTTAATAAAATGAGATCCCAGTTGTTGATTCTTTCTGCTAATTCCCGTGCTACTGAGGATTTGTTCATAAAGTTTTTTCTTATGCCAATGTCTTCCGGAGTTCTGCCTAACTTATCTTCCAGCAAGTTTCGTGTTTCTGTTTTAATATTTAGATCTTTAATCCACTTGGATCTTAATTTAGTGCATGCTGAAAGATAAGGGTCCAGTTTTAATCTTAGGCAGGTTGAAATCCAGTTTTTCCAACACCATTTATTGAAGAGGCTATCTTTCCTCCACTGAGGGTGGTCAGCTCCTTTGTCAAAGATGAGGTAGCTGAGTACATCTGCATTTGTTTTTGTGTCTTCCAGTCTGTTCCACTGATCCTCAGGCCTATTTCCTTGCCAGTACCATGCTGTTTTTATCACAGTGGCTTTGTAGTATAGTTTCAAATTGGGAATTGTTACACCTGGTGCCATGTGTCTGTTGCCTAAAATGGCTTTTGCTATTCTAGATCTCTTATGGTTCCAAATGAATTTTTGGATTTTTTTTTCTAGTTCTGTGAAATATAGTGTTGGAATTTCAATTGGCATTGCATTGAATATATATAGCAGTTTTGGTAGTATGGCCATTTTCACTATGTTGATTCTTCCTACCCAGGAGCAGGGGATATCTTTCCATCTTTTTATGTCCTCTTCAATTTATTTCTTCAGAGTGCTGTAGTTTTCAGTGTAGAGATCTTTTGTTTCTTTTGTTATATTGATTCGGCATAGGAAAAAATTTTATGAAGAAACCTCAGTAGCATGGGAACTAGCACAACCAATAAGTGGTATCTCTTCTTATTAAAAAGCTTCTGCACAGCAAGAGAAACCACCAACAGCAGGAAGAGAAAGTCCACAACATGGAAAAAAATTTTCACCAGCTGTTCTTCAGACGAAGATCTACTATCTAGAATATATAAAGAACTTAAAAAGATCACAACTCCAAATGTAAAGACCCAATCCAAAAATGGGCATCTGAAGTGAATAGATATTTCTCAAAGAAGTAGAAATAGCAAATAAACATATGAAAAAATGTTCACTATCACTGGTCATTCAAGAGATGCAAATGAAAGCAACACTGAAATTCCACCTCACCCCAGAAAGAATGGCTGCTATTATGAAATCAATCAATAACAAATGCTGAGGGGGGCTGCGTGAAAAAAGGAACCCTGCTGCACTGCTGGCAGGAGTGTAGACAGCTGCAGCCACTGTGGAAACCAGTATAGAGACACCTCAAAGAAACAGGATTGGAAGTCTCGTTTGAACCAGCTATTCCCCTGTGGTGTATCTTCCCCAAAGAATTAAAAGAATCATACCATAGTGATATAGGTGCACCCATGTTCATAGCAGCACTATTTGTGATAGGTAAAACTTGGAGGTGGTGCAATTGTCCCTAACCGGAGAATGGATAAAAAAAATGTGGTATTTTTTAAATATTTAAAATGAAGTACAACTCAGCCATAAAGAATGAGAAATTAGAGATATTTTTAGCTAAATGGATGCACTTTGAGGCCATACTCTTACATACACATGTAAATACTGAATGGTTCCTCTGGTGTGAGAAACTGAAAGTATATATAAGGACTAAAAGGTATAGTAGATAATGTGAAATAGGAAGAAAAGGAGCAAAGGGGAAGGGAATGGGGTAGGGTTAGGGCAAAGGAAAGAAGAGAATGAAATTAATATGAAAAAATGGAAACAGTCTTTGTAAACAGGGAGGCATGGAGGGGTTGAAAGGAGAGCAGGGGAATGGAGGAAAAATAAGAATTAAAATAGATTGCCTAAAGTTACAAATTTCCAATGATGAATATCATTATAGTGTGTATCTAAAATAAACCAATACAATTAATTTTAAAAAGAGGGAAATGAAGTAGTGTGGAAAAGGAAAAAAAAAGTGAAGAGGCTAAAGAGTGCTGCAGAGACTACCCATTACTTCCTTGATACATTTTAATTTTTCTTTTATTTATTAAAGAAATTAGGGAACTGATTTTTATAAGACTGTTACTGCCACCAGAAGATACAAAAAAATTCAATGATCAAATCTGAGTTTCTTGTTTCACATGAACTAAGCAGCACTGGTGGCAAAAACGTGATATTTAATGACTTATTTTTTTTTAAGCAATAAAAGAACTTTTAGGAAGCTTTAAAAATGTCTTTATAGCAAAGTGCTATCCGGGGTTTCTTTTAGAAATTTGGTTCATTCTGCTCATCTTCTATGTTGAAATAACATCCAGCAAATATTAGATCCATTTGAATTTGTATTGACTATTGTTTCTGTCTTTCAGTTTAGCTACTTGGAGAAGCTTCTGTTGGTTCATGGAACATGGAATTATTTTCGAGTGACTAAATGCATATTGTATTGTTTCTACAAGAATGTGGTACTATACATTATTGGGGTAAGAAAGAAGATGCACTTTCTTCCATCAAAAAACTAGGTCTTTTCTCTGATGTCAGGCTAGGTGTTTAAAACTTTTTTCCACATTAAAGTCCTTGCCTAAAGTTCTACTAAAAGAAAAATTCCTCAGGCTGATAACATTAGTAGAGTTTATTCAAGCAAAGCAAGCAAAACTGATTCTCAAGAGGACAGCCCCTCCAAACTGAGTGGGTTGTGAGAACTTCAAGCAAAAATGTGATCTGACAGCACTTACAGAAAAACAGAAGTCTAGAAAACAAATTAATTAGAGACAATTTAACTAATCAGTCACTTGATTTCAGCTTAACTACTTAATTACTTACACCTTAGTTTATCAATTGGGTATGAGGCTTTGTGACCTCCAAAACTCAGATACTATGGTTAAACTCTATTTTGGTTTGGTCTGTTGGGCCCAGCGCAGAGGCCTGTTCTAAGTCCATTTATTTAACTGTGTTAGTAATGTGATCCTGCTTTAAGCTTTTGCTCACAAAAGTGATATGTAAAAATTAATTAAAACATCTTACTTCATGACAACTTATTGGCATAATCTGTGATACACACACACACACACACACATGCACACACATGCACACAGAGTTTGGAACCAGAGAACCTCTGCCAGCTTAGCCAGCATTAGCTTCTTCCAGTGATTAAACATACCAGAAATCTCTGGACTCTCTGGGCTGTAGTCTTATTAAAATGGACAATCTTCATTATCAGATAGTTATTATCATACAATTTCTGTCCCTTCCATTAAGACATGAGCCTGACAATTTTAGCTGCATAACCCAAAGGTCACACATTTATGTGTGCATATGTGTACCTGGGGGTTTGCATTCCTATCTATATATTTTGATTCTCATAATAAGACACAGAAAATAAGACACAGAACTTTTCCACCACCATTAGACTCTCTTTCCTGCTACCTTTATACCTTCCTATGCACCCTAAGCCCTAGGAGACTGATCTATTCTCTATCGCTGTGATTTTGTTAATTTGATAATGTTACATAATAGCAGAATTAAATAGTATGTTACTTTTCATATTATTTATTTATTTTTTACCAAGTGCAATTCCCTTCAGACTCACAAGCACCAACAGTTTGTTTCTTTTTATTGGTACTTAACTCTCCATAGCATGGAGTTACCAGAGTTCATTTACCATTCACTGTTGAAAACCATTTGGGTTGTTTCTATTTTGGAGCAACTGTATGAGCAATAACGTTTTCATTTCTTTTCTGTATGAGCAATAAAGTTTTCATTTCATTTCTTTTCATTGAATATCCAAGAATACATGTATTGGATTATGTGATAGGTACATTTAATTTTACAAGAAACTGCCAAACTTTTTTTCAGAATGGCTTTACTATTTTAAATTCCCAGCTGCAATGACTCCATCACTGTTTCTCTGGATCTTTGCCTGTCCTGTGTTATCACTATTTCTTTTTTAGTCATTTTGATAGATGGGGAAAGATATCTCATTGTGGTTGTAAATTGCATTTCTCTACTGGCTAATGATGCTAAACATCTTTTCATGTCCTTATTTGCTATCTATCTATCTTTTTTGGTGGAATGTTTCCTTATATCTCTTGTCCATTTCCTAGCAATATTATTAATTTTTCTTCTTTTTTTACTATTTAATGACTTCACTTAGTCTAGTTATTAATCATTTGCCTGATATATAATTTATAACTTTTTCACAAAGTTTGAAACATCGCTTCATTATCTTAATAGTCTTTCACAAAACATTTTTATGAGGTTCAGTTTATCATTTTTTCCTCTTATGTGTGTACCACATCGAGAAATGTTTTGTCTAGCTTTAGATTCCAAAGGTTTCTTATATGTATTTTCCTGACTTACATTTTTACATTTAATTTAATGATCCATAATTTTTGTGTAAGGTATAAGGTGCAATTATGTTTGTTTTCCCTATTTATGTACAATTGCCATTCGGTAAAAAGACTACATTCTTCAATTAATTTGCTTCTGCACATTTGTCAAAAGTCATTTGGGCCAGGCGTGGTGGTGCATGCCTGTAATCCCAACACTGGGGAGACTGAGGCAGGAGGATTGCTGTGAGTTTGAGACCAGCCTGGACTACATAGTGAGTTTCAGGTCAGTTTCAACTACATAGTGAGACCTTGATCCAACCCCCCGCAAAAAAATGTCAGTTGGGAAGATAATAAACAGAAACACCAGGAACATATCTAGGAAGAATATTGAATTAGTAATAAAAAATCTCCCAGCAAAGAAAAGTACAGCCCTAGATAACTTCATTGAAAAATTCTATCACCCACCTAAAAAACAAGTAACATTCATCTTTCTCAAGTTTATCCATAAAGATGGAGAAAGAACACAGACTCATTCTATGATGCCATCATCACCCTACTGTCAAATCCAAATAATTACTGGAAAACTATAACCAATATCTTTGATGAATATTAATGTAAAATATCTCAACAAAATACTAAAAAATTAAATTCAATTGCATATTAAAAAGATTGTGCACCCATACTGAGATTATTCCTGGAAGCCAAGGATGCTTCCACATACAAAACAAGCAAATGTGTAACATACTACAGTAACACATTGAAGGCAAAAAAAACACACAATCCCTGAAATTAATGGAGAATAAGCATTTGACAAAATTCATTACCTTACAAGATAAAATCATTTAACAAACTAGGAGTAGAAGAAAATTACCTCAACATATAGGCCATAAATGAAAATTCCACAGTTAATTTCATACTCAATAGTGAAGTATTCAAAGCTTTCCCTCTAAGATCAAGAATAAGAATGACCACTCTCATCACTTCTGCTCCAAATAGTCTAAAAAGTTCTAACTAGAACAGATGGACAGGAAAAGAAAATGAAAGGCCCCAAATTATAAAGGAAGATATAAAATTATACTTGTTCACATATGCTCTTATATGTAGAAATCTAAATATTTCATAAAAATTATTAGATACTCAGCAAAGTTGCAAAGCACAAAGTGGACTATATACTAACAATGAATAATTTTTAAAAGAAATTAAGACAATTACATTTATAAGACATTAATAATAAAATACTTAGAAAAACCAGGGAGACAGAAGACATATACCCAAAATTATAAAATATTATTGAAATTGATACAAATAAATTTAAAGTTATTTTATGTTCATAGGTTAGAAAAATTAATGTTGGTAAGATGTTAATACTTCTTGATCTAGTAGATATTAAATGTCCCTACAGGTCTGAGTGTTAAAGGTTTGGTCACCAACTTAACGGCATTATTGGAGGTTCTAGAACCTTTAAGAGATGGGGCCTAGTGGGAGGAAGTTAGGTCACTGGGGGCATGCTCTTACTGGATATACTGGGACACTGGCCCCTTCCTCTTTGTTTCCTATGCATCATGCGATGAACAGGCCTCCTCTACTATGAGTTCTACCATGATGTACTGTGCCAACACAGGCCCAAAGCATAAGGTTAAGTGCGCATGGACTGAAACCATGAACCAAAATAAACCTTCCCTCTTTTTGCATTTATTATCTTGAATGTGTTGTTACAGTGACAGAAACCTGACTGACATAGAGAATTACTACCAAAAGTGGGGTCATTGCTGTTATTATACTTGAGGAAATACAGGGAAGCTTTTGGAATTGGTTTGCAGGTGAAGTTTTGCAAACTTTGGAGAAGTAAGCTAGAAAAAGAATGCTTTAAGTGATGTTTAATATAGTGTTGATGGGAGCTCAGAAAACCAGAATGTTATAGAAATGTGGACCATACAGGCTAGGCTGATTAGGTTTCAGATAGGAATCATATCTCTATTGAGAACTGAACCAGAGGACATCTGTGTTACATCATGGCAAAGAATTTGGTCCATATCCTGAGACTTTCTGGGAGGACTTAGTTTAAAGGTGATGAACTAGTTCATCTGATGGAAGGAATTTAAGGTAGTACTTATTGCAGGATAGCTATTGCTGCTGTTAGCCAAATTTACAGTGCAAATTGGAGGTAAAAATCAGAATGGAAAGATTTGAAAAATTTACAGGTTGGTAAGAGAAAGTGTGTTTAAAGGATGTAGAGAGGAAGTACCTTTCAACTGATGCCTTGAGGACATCTCAGGAATTGGCAAGATCCCACCCCTGACAGGCTCCAAAGTGTAAAAGTATAAAGGCATTTCAAGGACTTTCTTTTGAGGAGAGTGCTCCAGGGCATCCTTCTGTCAAAGGGCCACTTAGGGACTTGTTTCCCCAGGATTCAGTGGCACTCAGGGGATGCTGCAGCTGTGGCTCAAGTGGTCCCTGGTACACCTTACACCAACAGCAGACCTTGGCATTGTTTGCATGGTGCTGCTTTGGAGGCATGCAGAATACAAGAGTTACTGGATTGTGGAGGCTTCTACTTAGATTTCAAAGAAAAGCCTTCTGTCTTTTAAATTATATCAGGCATTTTGTTGTAGTGACAGAAAACTAATACATTTCCCCAAGCAAACTTCAAATTCAATATAATCTCCATGGAAATCCTAAAACATCTTAAAAATATTTTGGAAAGTCCAAAGTAAATTTTCACTGTAGTCTCAAGGGAGAGAAACAATCCTGAAAAGGAAGAATGAAGACCACAAAGGCTGTAAAGACAGACAGAATAGTACAGAGAGCCCAGAAATAAACCCTAGTGTATAGGTCAGATGATCCTTGACAAGAATGCCAATAAGATAATTTTATATATGATCTTATTTAAAATTTGCAAATTTGCTGAGTTGGAGAAAAGACAGACTCTTCAACAAATGGTGCTGGGGAAATGATATTTACATAGAGAATAATGAAGTTGAACCATTACCTGACATTATTAACAAAAATAAAGTCAAGATAGAGGGAAATCCTAAATGTAAGCTGTAAAACTATAAAAAACTAATAGAAAACAAGAAAAAAAATCTTCATGACACTGGGTTTGGTTGTGAGTTCATGGGTACAACATAAAAGCAAAAACTGACAAAAATTTTGTACATGAAAGAACAATCAATGAAGGGCAAAGGCAATTTTATGAAAGAGGAGAAAATATTTTCTAATCATGTATGAATTAGAAGCTATTATCTAGAGTATATAAAGATTGTCAGTAACTCAAAATATCAACAGCAAAGTAACCTGATTCAAAGTGGGCAAAGGACTCAAACAGTTGTCATTGTTTAATAATAATAGAATTTCATTTTTGCAAGATGAAAAAATTCTGTAGGTGGATTGCACAGCAGTGTTAATATATCAATATACTTCATATATTATTTAAAGTTTGCAAATTCTATGAGAAACTGAAGTTCAGAAAAGCTAACTCAGGCACCCAGTTTCACTCATCAGTGAGAGACAGAAGCAATAGATGAAGCATTTAAAGCTAGGGATATCTAATTCTGAATTGCAAGCATGACGGTAATGGATATGCTTATTACCTGATTTGATTTATACACAATGTAGGCATGATTGAAAAATCACTCAGTACCCCCTAAGTATATACAGTTATGATGCGTCAAATAAAATAAAATAAAATCTAACTCTATGGTTGAAAAGAGAGAATCGAGGTTTCAGTAATCATAATCATAAACTGTGAAATGTAGCTAAAATTTTTCTTTGTTAATTATACAAAGAATCTTGCAATTAAGGACACATTTTGACAAATCACCCCAACCAAAGAGTTTAAAGAGTGTGGTCCTGAGTCCTGTGGATCTAGGTTCTAATCTCATCTCTGTCACTTATTATTTGTGTGACCTAAGTGTCTATTTCAGCCTCCCCAAGTCTCACTTTCCACTATTCTTACATCAGGAATAATAATAATACCTACTTTATAACATTGCCATGATGGTTAAATATGATTATACATTTAAAGCAATATCACAGTGTGTGGTATACTTAAAGTGCCCACTAGATGCTGGCTATTACTATCAATGTATTATAATTTGTAAAGATATTTTTGGCATGTAGTCCCATAGAAGGCATAAAATTTGTTACTTGTTTTGAAGTAACATTTGTTACTTGATTTGAGAGATTTTTTTTCTAAGTGGGATTTTGCAAGAAATTTATTGGTGTAAAGATATGTGTCATTCGTTACCAAGTACACTCATATTTTTAATCAGTAATAGTGGTATTTGCAATTCATAATTTAAGAGAGGATAATTGCATGGTCCTTTATATACCACTTATTTTTGATCTATGGATAGATTTAGGTCACCATTGATAGAATGACTCTTCGTTTGGCTTCCCTCTCTTCCAGTTTTGGTTCACCTTTGTTAATGGATTTTCTGGACAGATTATATTTGAGCGTTGGTGTATCAGCACATACAATGTGGTAAGCATTCTTCATCTCTCTCTGATAGCGTGCAGTTCTGAGGGGACATTTCTTTACTGATTTTGTGTGGGAACTGTATCTAAGCAATCATCTGTGTGCTTAGCAGGCAGCACAATTAAAGCCTTAGGGCCTCTGTTGCTGTGACAAGCCATGCAGAAGCTCAAACTCCTCACTTATATTTTCCATCATAGCAGATCACTTTAGAATAAGTCCATGAAATGTGTGCTGAATGTATTGTAATAATATACCTGAAATCTCTTTACTCTGTGAAAAGTTTTCACACTTTTAAATTAGTATATGTTTGTGATACATAAAATTTTATTTATTATACATAATTGTATTATACATATTTGCATATTACATATACATAGTTGTATTTATTATACAAAGCATTGTATTTGTTATTGGGGGAAATATATATAATTCTTTGATTGCTTTTGACCCCTTTTCATTCCTCTTAAGAAAGGCTGGGCATGGTGGCGCACACCTGTAATCCCAGCACTCAGGAGGCTGAGGCAGGAGGATCACTGTGAGTTTGAGACAACCTGGGATACATAGTGAGTTCCAGGTCAGTCTCAACTACATAGTGAGACCCTGTCTCAAAAAACAAACAAACAAATAACAAAACAACAAAAAAAAAACAAAAAAAGAAAGTGAAAATAACTGAACTCTACTTAAATCATTTCATTTAATACCAATAATTAAGGCTTACGTATGTCTGCATATGTGTGTGGATGTGTGTTTATAATGTAATTCTATGTTCTATTAAGCCTGTTGGTAAAAAATTTGTCTGTGAAAATATATCTTTTGCTTATACTAAATAATAAATTTTGATCTCAAGTCTTATAGCAATATTTTCCATTTTAATGGGATTTGCTAATATAAAAAAATTATCCCATTACTTGACTACTCCTGAATTAGAAAACTAGATGTAAATTAAAAAGTAAGTCTAAATAGCAGGTAAGCTATATTACATTTTAGTTTTTGTTTTATTATTTTCCCCCTTAAGACTAGGAAACTAGTTTCCTAGCAAGTGTTACATGATTTGGCCTACATACTTATTAAGGCAGTCACAATATACCACATATGCTCTGTGCCTCAAGCCCTAAAATTTTGTCTTCTAGGGGTTTTAATTCTGAAACAGACAACATTGACAGATGTCACTTGACAGAAGCCATTAGTGTCCAATAATACAAAAATGTCTAGTGCTACGAGTAACTAGTTTGTGTAAATGCCAGTCGTTAGATTTATGTGATGTGATCCAAAACTATAGTAAACACTTAATTTTTTAAAATCTTATTACAATAAAAGACATTAATCCCATTAATCCCAATACCCCTCACTTCCAACTCATATCCCATCATTCTTGCAACTTTTTGAAGCAGTTCTAGAAGTCCTCATTCATGAATGTCTTTACTTCTGCTGTTAACAGCTGCCCGATGTTCTGAATTGTTCCAAAATGCTTACCATATAGTCAATTTGATTTTGGGGAAAAGCCAGAAGTTACATGGTGCCAGATGCAGTGAAGAAGATGCTTGAGGACACACTGTAATATTTTTACAAGCTTGCCTTTTCATTCAATAGTACCTAGCAGCACGCCGCATTCACCATACTTTTTTATCACATCTCATAGACACTCATGATTAATTTCAAGAAGACAACTTAATGGAAAGCACAAAAATATCTTCCATTCTTAAAATGCTAAAAATCATTGACTCAGAGAAAAATATGTCAAGCAGCCAAATAAGAAACACACATATGGAAAATAAATATAAAATAAATAAATATAAAAATAAAAGACCACATTAGAAACTTTGAAGGTCATAAGACAAGAGAATATTTCTGAAATTCAAAAAAAATTAAAAATTCATGAATGAAGAATTCTGTGACCAGTACAATGTCTTTAGAGATATTATGGTGAAATTAAAACCTACTCAAAGCAAGAAAACAGGAAATCCATCAACTGTATACCTGAAATGTAAAATTAAGTTTTTCAAGCAAGAGAAAAAGTATACCAGAAAGATACTTGGATTTCTTCAAAGAAATGAAGAGCACCAGAAATTATAGTTATAGGGAAAATAAAAGAAGCTTAAAAAAATACATTCTCTTTAATAGACTGTTTAAACTGATTAAACAGGTAAATAGTGCTATTTAAAACAAAACTAATAAGATAGGGCTTATGAATTATGTAGTTAAAATACACAAATAAATATAACAAAATGAATAGGAGAGGGGAATTAAAGTACAATATTATTTGAATTCTGTGATATATCATACCTGTATATTATAAACCTTAGTGGGCAAATAAAAAAATACAAAAGGCATAGCTAACAAACCAATAGATACAGTAAATTTTTAAAAATAATTAATGCAAAAGAATTCAGAAAATGAAACAAAAATGAATAAAGGCAATAAATAGAAAACATAGGAAGATACTAGATTTAAACCAAACATATTTGCAGTAATACTGAATAAAAGTGGTCTAAATATTCTAGTTAAAAAACATTATCACAGTGAATTAATAGTATTAATATAAAATGTTATGTTATACACAATAAACCTATTTTAAATATAAAGACACAGGTAATCAAAAGGAAAAAGGTGGAAAAAAAAAAAGCTCACTACATAAACCCTAGAGAGAAATGTGGCTGTATTCAGAACAGCAGGCTTTAGGATAGTCTAATGATAAAGATGGACTTTTTAAATTTTTAATTTTTTAACTTAGTACATGTTTGCAGTACATAAAAATTATATTCACTGTAGGGAATTGGTTCATGTACATAACACATCTCAATTTCAGTTCCTTTTTTCCCCTTCCCTCCCCTCCTTTTTTTTTTTTTTGCCAGCATTAGATTCATTTATTTATCTTATAGGTTCTTATAAAGTTAAAGTTAATTATCATATATACAGATTAACAACCACACTAATAATCCAAAAACATACAAAACATATAAAACATGTATACTAATCAAGCTTCACTATTAAATACTTTTAGGATAGATGTTTTTAATGATAAAAGGAATAATTTGTCAGGAGCATATTAGAATTTTAAATATATAATCACTATTAGGATGACATATGAGAAACTGATAGTCATAAAGAAGGATAAACTTGAGACATTTCTAGTTAAATAGATATACCTTGAGACCATACTCTTAAGTGAAATAAATTGGACACATGTGTAAATATTGCATTATCTTTCTGGTGTGAGAAACTGAAAGTGTAAATAAGGACCAAAATGTATAATAGATATTGTGAAGTAGGAAGAAATTGTGCAAAATACTACTGTGTCTGGTGCTGGGGATTTAGCTCAGAGATTCTGCTGCCTACCTTGCAAAGTGCAAGGGCCCAAGTTTGATCCCCAGTACCAAAAAAAACAAAAAAACAAAACAAAATCAAAACCATAAAACAAAACAAAAAATAATACTGTGTCAGATACTTTGTTAACAATTAAAATGTTTTATGCAAATACATAATTTTAAAAGAAACTGATATAATTAAATGTAAATTTATTAAATCTACACAGTTATTTGACTCCTTTTTAATGGATAGAAACTAGAAAAAATTTAGAAAGTATATAGGCTATTTGAACAATATTATAACTATTTGACTGAATTGGCACACAGAAAACTCCACCCAGCAGCAACAGCAAAATATACATTTTATTTCAAAATGCATATTGAATGAATGCCATGCTGGGCAATAAAATAAGACAATAAATTCTGAAGAATTAATGCTATACAGAATATGTTCTGTGAACATAATGGGCTTAAACTAGAAATCAATAACAATAACATATTAGGAAAATGACTATATATTTGAAAATTAACATATGTCTAAATGTAATGTGGGTTGCAGAAGAAATAAAAAAAGAAATTACAAGGTATTTTGAACAAGATAAGAAGCAAAACTTTTCAAATTGTATGAGATATCATTAAAACAACAGATAGAATTTTAAAATGCTTAAGTAGAAATAAGAGCCTAAAATCAGTGGCCCAAAAATCATCCTCAAGAAACTAGAAAAAGAAGAGTAAATAAAGTCCAAATTAAGCACAGCAAAAGAAATAATATATATAAAGAAATGTAAAGCAGAGAAGCAATAGAGAAAACCAATGGGGGAAAATACTGGCTCATAAAAAGAGTCAATTAGGAAGATAAATCTCTAGCTGAACTGGTCAATATAGATACTAACAATATCAGGAATGAAAATCATGACTACAGAGCCTACAGATAGTAAATGGATAAGCAAATACTATGAAAAACTTTGTGACATATTTTACATCTTAGGTGAAATTGACAAATTCCTTGATGAAATGGATAAATTTCTTGAAAGATACAAACCTACTAAATGACCCCATAAATGACCTCATATCTACTAAATTTTTGAATTCTTAAAAATTTTCTCATCAAATAAATCCAAAATATTTAACAAAATTTCAAAAAGTTTTTAAGACACGAAAGGAAAAAAGCCCCCAACTTATGATGAAGCTTCACTCTGATACCCAAACAAGAAAAACTGATTACAGAAAAGCACAAATATCTTCATTAATGTTGATGCAAATATCCCGCACAGAATTTAGGAAACCAAATACACCAAAATATAAAAAAGAAATACTATTTGAGAAATTAGCTACTCCGCAAATTTAGTTTACAAAGAAAAGTCAATCACTGTACTCCACAATGTTAATAGATTAAAAAAGACAAACCATATAGTCATCTCCTTAGATGCTGTAAAAACATTTGGAAGAATTCAGCATTCCTAAGATCAGAATCAAGTCAAGAATGTATGTTGTTAAATCATCTGTTCAACATTGTCTGCACATCCTAGCTAGTATAGGAAAAAGAGAATCAATAGATTGGAAAAGATGTAAAACTTCCTTTAATTGCTTCCAATAATACATACAAAGTTCTAAGGAAAATTCAGAGTTCCTGTATTATGTCAGATTGTTATAATAAAAGTCTTCATTCGTTCACACTCCTCGATATCTACACCTTTTGGTTTGCCTACTCACACTGATTCTGGGCTTCGTCATCTGACTTACTCTGGCCAGTGGAACAGTTGCAAACATGAGATATATGCAGATGTGAAAAACACTTTCTCATGGAAGCAAATCCCTTTCTGAATACTCTTTGTGAACAATCCCTGGTTAAATTGCCATGGGAAGAGAAACCATGTGAAGGAAAAAAAAAAAAAGACAAAGAAAGAAACACCATTCCAGATGAGGTTCAAGTGTTGTTTTCTAAGAGATCTTTTTGTCAGCATGCAGTTAAAATTATAGTTAACATAACTCATGTACTTCTATCTTCCTTCTTGCAATTTTCTTTGTCTCAGTTTCTCTCCCCTTTTCTTCCTTCTTCCTTCTTTCTTTGTCTTGTCCACTACTTTTCTCATAATATTGTGCCTTCTGTTACAAGGTTCCCTTCTTGAAAAGATCCATGGCTTTTGAAAGAATAAGTTCCTGGCATAATGGTTTTAAAATAAATATTCAAAGAGTAAATAAATGAAAAAACGGCTTTTTAAGTTTCTGAAAATTGAGATTACAAGATTCTTGTGAAATTATTTTTCACTTAGTTTAACATTAACAGTATTTATTGAGTTTCTTCTAAATGTGAAGTACTGACAAAAGAACAACCTATAATACGACCAGTTCTTCTACAGGAATTACATGACATGATTGCTAGATTTGGTAGACAATATTATCCCTGTTTCTTAAATAACCAGACACTCCATGCATTTATTTTCAGGAATGCAAAATAAATGTATTTGTTTCATCTCCATAAAGCTTAGTTTATGAGCTATTGAATCAAAGGTTTGGCTCAGGTTGAAAAATTGTCATGATTGGATAGATGCATTTGAATTGATAAGACTCAGTAATACCTGCAATGTAAATAGCTTTTAGTTTTACATAGCTAAGACTTACTACAAGTTGCAACAGTGATTGAGGATTATGTATATCTTTCTTCTAGCTGCTCACATAATGATGTCTTATTGATCATTATGTGTATATCTGAAGTAAATTAACACTGGTACAGTGTGATTTAGTTAAGTATAAACTAAAAGTTTTAACAGATGCTTATTTTCCATGTAGATTTTCACTTCATTACCAGCTTTCACTCTTGGAATTTTTGAACAGTGTTGTAGTCAAAAGAGCTTGCTCGAACATCCACAACTCTACACAATTTCTCAGAAAGGAGAAATTTTCAACACAAGGGTAAGCAGAAAATTTCTTGTGGGTCTTTCCTCTCACCATAACTCCAAAGATTCCTTTGCTCTCTTCCCTTTCTGATGCTTAGAAAAAAGCAATTAAAATATCCAAGAAAAGACACCCAGCAGAGTAATAGCTGTGTCAAATGGAACCTCTAATCCTAGTTCTTTGAGGTCTCTCCATATTGATTCCCATATGGTTGCATCAGTCTCCATTCCCACCAGCAATGGAGAAGGGTTCCTTTCTCCCCACAACCCTGTCAACATTTGCTATTGGTTCATTTCTTGATAGCAGCCATTCTTTGTGGGGTGAGGTGGAATATCAGTGTTGTTTTCATCTGCATCTCTTGAATGACCAGTGTAAATACCAAATAGTTTCTCTGGTGTGAAAAACTATAATTGTACATAAGATCCTAATTGTATAATTGACAATGTGAAATAGGAAGAAAAGGGCTAAAGGTGTAGGGGCAGTGAGAAGGGTAGGGGAAAGGAAATAAGAGAAAAGAAAAATATATGAGAAAATGAAAAAATGGAAATAAAGTATTTGTAAATAGCAAAGGGAGGGGAGAGAGGGCTGGGGTAAGGGGAAAAAAATGACCTGTCATGTACAAGATCCCAATGATGAATTGTAACTGTACGGTATACCTAAAATGTACCACCAAAATAAACTGATATAAAATCTAAAAAAATATATCCAAGGAAAGAGCAATGTGCCATCTGCCTGCTAGTTTAGCTTATACATGGACTTGAGGTTCAAATAACAAAAATAATAGTATATAGGAATAAAAAAATGTCTTGTGAATTAAGAAGCAGGGTACCATGTGTGGTTCACAGGTTGTACACCAGACATCATCTGAAGACTTGTTATGTGATGGGAAATTCCAGGAAGCACAAAAGAGGTACTAAGGTCTACTTTTAGATGACACATTATTCCAAAAGATTATCTTGGAAAGATCACTTTCTTAGGTCATACAATTTGAGATTCACTTGGGGAGGGTGTTTTATAAATTGCCAGAGCAATGACATGCACTCTTGTCAATTTTTAGTAAGCCTGACTGTACATCTCAATTATTTGGGAAACTTTTAAAATATATAAACGTCTAGAAAAAAGTACAAGCATTTTAAATGTATTGAGACATTTGGCATAATGGCCCAAATCATCTATATTATAAATATTGCATCTCTTTAAAAATGTGTTATTCAAAACTTTCATGTCCTTACTGATTTTTCCATCCACTTGTGCCATTAGTTATTGGAGTGTGTTAAAATCTCCACCACATTGTGGGTTTATTCATTTCCATTTGAAGTTCTTCCCATTTTATTCCTTGTATCGTGCAGCTCTGTTGTTAGGTTTATTCATGTTTAGGATTGTAATCATCTCATCATGGATCCCTTTATCATTGTGAAATGATGTTTGTTTTTCCTGGTAACATTCTTTACTATAAAATCTACTTTGATAGTAATATTTCAGCTTCATTTGCTTTTCATCTGTCATATTTTCTTCTACAATTTAAGTGTTGTATTATTTTTTTTTCACTCACTGAGTTTATTGGTACTTTTTAGGGAAACAGTACAGTTACATTCATCATTGGGGTCTTGTACCTTGACATAACAGGTCTTGGTTCTCATTTTTTTCCCTTTGTCCCTGCCCTCCCTTCACCCCCGCCTCCCCTCCCCATTTACAAACACTTTTTTTCTGTTTTTTCATTTTCTCATAGGTATTTTTCTCCCTTATTACCTTTCCCTTACCCTTCCCACTTCCTCCACACCTTTAGCCCTTTTCTTCCTATTTCACATTCTCAATCATATCATTAGGATCTTGTGTACTATTATAGTTTTTCACACCAGAGAAACTATTCAATATTTATACATTTGTGACTTATTTATTTCACTTAGGAGTATATCCTCAATATATATCCATTTTTCTATGAATGACTCTTAATTTCTCATTCTTTATGGCTGAGTAGTATTCCATTTTACAGAAAAACCACATCTTCTTTATCCAGTCTCCAACTGATGGGCAAATGGGCTGTTTCCAAGTTTTAGCTATTACAAACTGTGCCTCCATAAACATAGGTGTGCATATATCACTGTGATATGATTCTTTTAATTCTTTTGGAAAGATACTCCGCAGAGGGATGACTGGGTCAAATGGAACCTCTAGTCCCAGCTCTTTGAGGTATCTCCATATTGATTTCCATAGTGGTTGTACCAGTCTGCACTCCCACCAACAATGGAGAAGGGTTCCTTTCTCCCCATAACCCTGCCAACGTTTGTTACTGGTTGATTTCTTGATAGCAGCCATTCTTTGTGGGGTGAGGTGGAATCTCAGTGTTGTTTTCATCTGCATCTCTCAGATGACCAGTGATGTGAAACATTTTTTCATATATTTACTTGCAGTTTTTACTTCTATGTCTGAGAAATGTCTGTTCATTTCAGATGCCCATTTTTGAATCGGGTCTTTATATTTGGGGGGGCTGATTGTTTTGAGTTCTTTGTATATTCTAGGTAAGAGTCCTTTGTCTGAGAAGCAGCTGGTAAAAAATTTTTCCATATTGTAGGTTATCTTTTAGTTCTGCTGACGGTTTCTTTTGAAGTGCAGAAGCTTTTTAATAAGATGAGATCCCAGTTGTTGATTCTTTCTGCTAATTCCCGTGCTACTGAGGATTTGTCCATAAAGTCTTTTCCTGTGCCAATGTCATTTCCTCCCTTGTATGAGCTTTAGGTTTGCCCTGTTCTTCTTTTTCTAGAAGCTTGAGCTTCAGCATCAGATTGTGTATTTGAGCTCACTCCATTTTCCTAAAAGGAGTATTCACTATTATGAATTTCCCTCATAAGACTTTCATTATGTCCCAGAGATTCCAATATGTTGCATTGGCATTGTCTTTTAATTGTAGGAACTGTCTGTTTTCTTCTTTAATTTCCTGTGTGACCCATTGCTTATTCAGAAGTATGCTGTTCAATTTCCATGTGTTTATGAAGTTCTTGCAGTTTCTTTTACTACTGACCTCCAATTTCATCTCACTATGGTCTGACACTATACAGGGGATCACTTCAATTCCTTTGCATTTACTTAAACATGTTCTGTTAATGAGTATGTGGTCTATTTTGGAGAATGACCCACATGCCTCTAAAGAGAATGTGCATTCTTATTTTGTGGGGTGCAACACTCTGTAAACATCTGTTAAGTTCTCTTGTTCAAGAATTTGATTGAGCTCTAATTTTTTTTTGTCTAGTTGATATATTTGTGTTAGTGGGGTTGATGTCCCCTAGTACTCTTGTATTAGTGCTTATTTGAATTTTTTTTGCAGGAGGCAGAACCACTGAGCTAAGTCCCTGGACTAGTGCTTATTTGATTTTTTTATGTCCATTAGTATTTGTTTTATATAGTTGGGCACACTAGTGTTTGGTGAATATATATTAATAATTGTCATCTCTTCCTCTTGGACTGTTTCCTTTACACAGATATAGTGTCCATCTTTGAATCTCTTACTTGGTGTTGGTTTGAAATCCACTTGATCTGAAAGGAGGGTAGTCACTCCTGTTTTTTTGGGGGGGGTTGTTGCATGGAGAATTGTTTTTCACCCTTTATCTTTCAGTCTATAAGTTTCTTTTTTAATTAAATGTGTTCCGTGTATGAAGCATATTGTTGGATCTTGCTTCTTGACCCATTCTGTTAGTTTATTTCTTTTGATTGGTGAATTGAGACCATAAACTTTGATGGTTAAAACTGATATGTGTTGAGTTATCCCTGTCATTACTTTTTCTTTCTGTTGGATTCTCCCCTTTTCATTTAACTTCTTGTCATGCCCTGTGGATTCATTCTGCTGGGCTTCCTGGGTTTGTGATCCTCATTGTCTTTTCCTAGGATATTGTTTAAAATATTTTCGAGTGCTGGTTTGGTGACCATGAATTTCCTCATGTGCTCTTTATCATGACGGTATCTTATTTCTCTATCAACTTTGAAAGATAGTTTGGTAGAGTACATCAATCTGGGTTGGAGGTTTTCTTTAGGGCTTGAAATGTGTCACTCCATGCTCTTCTACCTTGAGGGTTTGTGTTGAGAAGTGTGCTATGATTCTGATGGGCTCTATTTTGTACGTAATTTGTTTCTTTTCTCTTAAGTGCTTGTAGAATTTTGTTCTTCTGTTGGGTTTCTGGAATCTTAACTATTATATGCTATGTGTAGATTTTTTTTTAAAATCATGGCTAGTTGGAGTCCTATATGCCTCACTTATCTGTATGTCAAGTTCTTTTCCCCTACTTGGGAAGTTTTCTGACATTACTTCTGTAAACAGTTTTTTTTTTATGTTGTCTGCACTCTTTCCTGTTTCTTCATTGACTCTGATGAGTCTTATGTTACTTATTTGCATCGTCTAGCAGCTGCTGGGTTGATTTCTCATGGTCCCTTACTATTTTTAAGAATTTTTTCTTTTCCTGGTCAATAGTCACAATCCTGTCTTCTATATCTGATATTTTGTCCTCACATTGGCTTATTCTGCTGCATGAACTTCCATTGGAGTTTTTAATGCCCTGGAAATCTTTTGGCATCTGTTTTATGGATTCCATTAATTTCCTACATTGGGGTTCCATTATATTTCCTACCTCCTCTACTTTTTTAAAATCTGTGTCCACTCTAGATTTATTAATCATGTCTTGCACTACAGGCACAATCTCTGCTGTTACCTGAGAAATTATTTCTGATTTGATTTTTTCCAGATCCTCTTTCATTGCCAATTCAGGAAATCCAGGTGGTTGAGTATCAGGTTGTTCTATATCATTGCAATTTGGGGTTGCCTTAGGTGATCTGGAAGTCTGGTTTTGAGACTTATTTACAGATCACTTCCACAGATGCAGCCTGCTGTGCCTTTTTTGAAGTGCCTTTTTGCTCACCCAGTGGTCTTCAATTCTCAGCAAGCTACCGAGGAGCCTTTTTCTGTTGCTCACCAGTACACCAATTCCTGGGGTCAGAATGGTGGCCTTCTGGATCCCTGAGCTGAGCTGTTGTGTGGTGGGCTTCTGGCTGGGGCCTGTGCACACTTGGCATGGTATCTAAATGTGCTTCTTGGGGCTGGGGATTTAGCTCAGTGGTGCAGTGGCCTGCCTTGCAAGCGCAAGGACCCGATTTCAATCCCTGGTACCAAAAATATAAATAAATAAATGTGCTTCTTGCTGAGGCCCCCATGTAGCTGTTGTCTGGGAGGGCCTTTGACTGGAGGCTGTTCACCCCAATTCCTATTGTCTGTGCAGGCTTCTGGCTAGGGTTTCCGTGCACTTATCAATGGTATCAGTGTGAACCTGTGGCTGTTGCTTGTGTGCCTGTGTAGCTGTTTTCCAGTTTGGCCCTTGGCTGTGACCTGTGGTATGGTGGGCCGCTGATTAAAGCTGGCTTGCCTGTATAGCTCTTTTCTGGGAAGGCATTTGGCTTGGCAAGTATTCCCAAGCCTCTGGCATCAGGGAAGAGCCCTGGCTGGGATCCCCCTGCAGCTGCATCTCTCTTGTCCACACTGCTGCTCCCTGAGATCTGTGCATGTGCACTTATCAATGGTATGGCAGGCCTCTTTATACTGTAAAAAACATTGATATAGTATATTTCTATTTCTGTCCTCCTATTTTTTGGGTTAGTGTCATCATACATGTCAGTTTTACATATTTTATAAGTTCTTCATGATATTCATACCTTGCTTTAATAATTATTTTTAAAATTAGTTAAATATTAGGAGAAACTCTTTGCCTATGTATTTATCATTTCTAATGAGATCTACCTTCTACGTAGAATTGTCCTATTAATCTGTGATTGTTTTCTTTCTGTCTTAAGAACTTCCTCAAACATTTCTTTATTGTGCAAGTCTGTTGGCAATTAACTCTTACAACTTTTCTATGTGTGGAAAACGTCACCCATATTCAAAGTCACTTTTGTTTAGTGTATTGTTCAGCTTTCTGTTTCTACAACAAAATGCTAGAATCAATTAATTCCTAAGGGTGAAGTGTTCATTTAGTTTCTAGTTGCACTCCACAGTTGCATGGCCTTGTATCTTTGGGCATGTAATGAGAGCACTAGATTGCAGTGACAGGGAGCACATGATGGAGCAAAGTATTTCAATTTTCAGCTAGAGAAACAATTTTAAACAGAGGGAAAGAGAAGCTCAGCCAAGGTCCCATGTCTTCTCAAGGGCACACCCCTCACCACTACCAGTGGCCTAACCACCTTCCATGAGGTCCCACCTCTGAAAAGTCCGCAGCACCTCCCAGTAGCATCACTCTGGGTACCAAGTGTTCACATATGGACCTCTAGGGGACATTAGCAAACCATAGCACTTGATATAAAACTTTAGGTTGATACTTTCTTTTCTTTTGTGTTTTTGTGTACATTATTTTGAAGTGAAATTGCTCATTTTTATTGTACTATAAGTAATGTGTCTTTTTCCTCTTGATGCTTTTAAGATTTGTCTTCTTTATTACTGGATATGTATGGGCATTTCATTATGATGTACCTTGTTTCTTCATTTTTTTCATTTTGTTTTGTTTTGGTTTTGGTTTTTTGTGCTTCATGGATCTGTTCACTTTTGTTTAGCTTCTTGGATTTGTGAGTTCATAGTAGAGGCATCAGAAAACTATGACCTATGGGTAAATTCAGTCCTGTGCCTGATTTTATAAACAAAGTTTCATTGGAACATAGTCATGTCCATTCATTTACATATTATTTATGGCTATTACAAGAGCAAAGTTGAGCAGTTGAATAGCAATTATATGACCACAAAAGCCTAAAATACTATCTGGTCTTTTACAGAAAAAGTTTACTGGTATTTATTTATAATATTTTCTGTCAAGCATGAAAGTAATTATATTTAAAATAGAAAGAATAATGATTTCTGTTTTTAATGTTTCTGCCAGTTAATTGATATGAAACCCTGTTTGAATGGAAAGATTTTACCTTACTGAGGCTTCCTTTAAGAAAATTGTGCATTGTCTGTTACAAATTACTTTTGAGAAGGATCAGAGTATAGATGTAAGAATAAAAGTATATCATATATACCATGCAATTACATTTAAAGTCATATGAATTTGAAATTTAAAATATTTTTATTTCTTTTAAAATTACTGTTACAAAAACACTGAACATAATAGATAGTTTAAGCTTTCAAATTTTTAATAATTAATTTTTAACTTTACACATTTTTATTTAATAAACTAAAATGTGTTAACCTATAATAATGTTATCCTATCATATTAAATAATTTCAGTATTTTTAGTCTATAATTCCAAATACCATCAAATAATGTTTTCTACAATTTTGCAGTCACTTATAAAACTAGAATGAAGAAATAAATTTTTCAGTCTCTAGAAAACATTTTAGCTTTGTGACTGTGTTATACAGAGCAAGTATATTTCACAATGTTAGATCAGTCTAATATCTTCACTTTCTTCTTTTGTTTTCTTTTAGGTATTTTGGATGGACTGTATGAATGCTTTGGTTCACTCGTTCATTCTCTTCTGGCTTCCTATGAAAATACTGGAGCATGGTAAAAGTTTCACTGTTTCAAATATCAGTCAGATAAGGTTGCTCTCACTGTAGTCAGTGTGTGTATGTGTGTGTGTGTGTGTGTGTGTGTGTGTGTGTGTACAGAAATAACAAGGATACAAAAAGAGAATTCAGAAAAAAAATATTTACCTAAATTTAAGATTAGATTAGACACTCCTATGGCTAACAGACTGCACTTTGTATATTTAATAGCTGACCTTTGGAACTCATTCTCTTTGCCTTTTACCAGTATATATTGAGGTCAGTGCATTTATGTTACTCTCGAATAAACACTTGAATCAGGAAGTCTGATGGAAAATAACAGTTTTGATGAATCAGAGATGCCTTTTGTTAGTAAATTTGACTTTATGTTTACTTTAGTTCTTGTTTTCACATCCAGAACTTCACATTTTAATTTAAACAATAGCATGAGTCTAAAAAGATATATAGAAACTTAACCTTATCTGACTAAGTGTCCTTTTCATACTGTATAATTTTCCAAACAACATTATATGTGAAGTTTTTCTCTAAACTGATTTATTTGGGCCCTGGATGTGCAGAACTAGGAGATGATATTTATGAAACATGTTATTGGTGTCCATTGGGTTCACATACCATAATTTAAAGTGTGAAGTATACTTATTTTATATACCTAGATTTAGTTTCTGTTGAATATTTCTAGCAAGATGTTCTTTATCTTGAACATATTTAAACTTTTAAAAATCAGATATGTGTTGAAATGTATGTTTGCATTTAAAACTGACTCTGCATATTATATAGCTCAAAGCCACTGTAAAAATGAATGAAACTTTCAGCCAGAAACAAAGATAAAGATCAAAAGATTATGAAGGTTTAGTTCTGGCTCCAGGATGAGGATGGGAAGAACTTCAAGGATCCATTCTCCACACAAATAAGCAAAGCGCATCAAACTATCAGAACCCAGCCCTGTAGGAGCTCTAGAAATTGTCCTGAAAATAAAGAAGAAACCTGTATTCAAGCAAATTTATTAAAGCTTAGTAAGAAAAAGAAGTCTTTGACTTTTGATCCATACACTGCTTCCTTCTTCCTCATGTCACAGCTTAGCCTGGTGGAAGGTCCACTTCAAGTAAGTGGTAAAGAATATGGGACTATTGTTTTTTTGAGTTTTCCAGCAAGATTACTATATCTCACCAGCAGGGGCAGTACCACAGAATTTCTCATGTCCTCCAATTCTGAGTTGAAGGAGCTAAATTCCTAAATTCCTAACAAAAGTGACTAAGTTAGAGCTCTGTTTTTTCCAACCAACCCATGTACATAGGACAGAGTCTATAACTTATACCTAGCAAGCAAAAAATACTGGGGCTCTAACCACCCTCACCCCGCTTGCTCTTTGAGCATGAATTGGTACTGTATTTCATTAAATGCTATTTTTGCATTGGCTGAGATGGACATATGCTTTTTGTCCTTACTTATATTTATGTGGTGAATTACATTTATTGATTTGCATATGATGAACACTTCCTGTGTCCTTGGAATGAATCCTGCTTGGTAATGGAGTGTAGTCTTTTTGATGATTTGCTGCAATATATTTGCCAGTATCTTAAGGATTCTTGCACCTATGTTCATTAAAGAGATTGGTGCATAGCTCTCTTTTTTGGGTTGTGTCCTTTCCTGGTTTTGGAATAAGGGTAATGCTTGCTTCCAGGAATGACTTTAGGAGTACAGCTTCCCTGTCAATTTTAATAAAGAGTTTGAGGAGTGTTGGCACCAGATCTTTGGTAAAGTTCTTGTAGAATGCTGCAGTGAATCCTCCATTACGACCTGAACTTTTCTTAGTGGGTAGGTTTATTATTATTATTATTATTATTGTTGTTGTTGTTGTTGTTGTTATCATCTTTTCAATTTCACTAACTGATACTGGCCAATTTAAAAATTTTATATCTTCTTGGTTTGGTTTGGTATTTCATATGTATCTAAGAATTTATCTATTTCTTCTGAGTTTTTCATTTTATTACAATAAAGGTTCTCCAAGTAGTTGCTCATTCTAGATTTCCACAGAATCTGTTGTGATTTCATCTCGTTTTTTTTTTTTTTCCCCAGTTGCATAGATTGGGTCTTTTCTTTCCTTATTTTAATAAGATTGGCTAAGAGGCTGCTTATTTTCTTCAGTCATTCAAAGAACCAACTCTTCAATTCATTGATTCTATTATTGTTGTTGTTGTTGTTGTTGTTGTTGTTGTTGTTGTTTTGGTACTGGGGATTGAATTTGAGTACTTGTGCTTGAGAGGCAGGTGGTGACACCACTGAGCTGAATCCCCAGCCCTTCATTGATTCTTTATATTGTTTTTTAGTCTTAATTTCATTAATTCCTACTCTGATGTTTATTATTTTCTTCCCTGTACTAGATTTGGGTTTGGATTATTCTTGTTTTTCTAGGCTCTTTAGGCCCATCATTGAGTTATTTGTTTGAGAGTGTTCTGTTTTTGTAACTGAGGAATTTACTGCTTTAAACTTTCCACTTAGGGCTTTTTTCATTGTGACCCATAGGTTCCAATGTATCTGTAATGGTTTGTCTCTAGATGTCCTACTCATGTAGTCATAGGTGGGGCTTTTTCAGATGTGATTGAAAATAGAGTGTGGGATTGATTCATGGTGCAATGCTAAGATTAAGGGTGTGAGTGTTGTCCACTCTAAGGGCAGGTAGCCTGGGTACAATATATAAGGGACAGAGGGCTCAGTGGTGCCACACCTGCCTCGCAAGTGCAAGGTCCTGAGTTTGATCCCTGGTCATGGCAGGGAGACAATATAAAAGACAGAATGAGGACTTGCTACTACTAATTTATAGTTTGTTGCTTGCTTACTTTTGGTGTCCTATGTCTGCCATGCACTGCTCTCTGCAGTGCCCCTCTGCCATGCCATCCTGCCTTGGAGCCAGTCAGTTATGGACTGAAATTGTTAAACTGTGAGCTGAAATAAATTGTTCTTCCTTTGACTTTGGGTGTTGGATATTTTATCTCAGCAATGAGGAAAAGTAACTAAGACAATGTTGGACTGGCATTATCATTTGATTATAGAAACTGTCTAATTTCCTTAATTTTACCAGTGGCCCATTGATTAAGAACATATTATTTAATTTCCATGTGTTTTCATTATTTCTGTGATATCTTTGCCATAGCTTTCTAGTCTCACTGCACTATGGTCTGATAATATGCATGCAATAATTTCAGTTCTTTTGCATTTACTGCAGCATATTCTATGAGTTAGTATGTGGTTTAGTTTGGAGAAAGTCTCACATGCTGCTGAGAAGAGTGTGTACTCTGTTGTTGGGTAGAACGTTCTGTAAATATTAAGTCATTTGTTTAAACATTTGGTTTCTTTGTTAAATTTTTACTTAGCTGATCTGTACTTTGGTGACAGTGAAGTTTTGAGATCCCGTATTACAATTGTATTGATGTTCATATGATTTTTGCATATCCATTAGGGTTTGCTTTATGAAGTTGGGTGCACTAGTATTTGGTGCATATATATATTTATAATTGTTAAATCTTCCTGTTGAATTGTTCCCTTAACCTGTATATACTATCCTTTGTCTCTTCTAATTGGTCTTGTTTTGAAATCCACTTTCCTTGAAATTATGATAGCAACTCCTGATTTTTATCAGATTCTTGTTGCATGAAATATTATTTTCCATTCTTTGATTTTTAATCTGTGAGCCTAGTTTTAATTAAATGTGTTTCTTGTATACTGCATATTGTTGGGTTTTGTTTCTTGATCTATTCTGCAAATCTGTGTCTTCTGACTGAGTGACTGAGACCATTCACATTGAGAATTGTTACTAAAGGGCATTGATTTATTCTTGTCTCATTGCATTATTTTCCTATTGCTGATTTCCTCATTTTTTTCTGTTTTACTTCACTGCTCATCCCACCATGTGTATTCATTATTTTTGATATATTGGCATTGTTGGCTTTGTTGTCTCTTTCATCCTCAAAGATTTTTGTAATGCTGGTTTGATGGTCATGAATTTTTTTTTTAACCTGGTATTGAACTCAGACCTAGCACTTTTGAGACAGGTGGCAGTACCACTGAACTGAATCCCTGGCCCTGGTTATGAATTTCTTGAATTGCTCCTTATTTGTCCATCAACTTTAAAGGAATTTTTTGTGGAATACACAAGCTAGAGTTGGAAGTTCTTATCTTTTAGGGCAGTGGTGGCAAACCTATGGCATATGTGCTGCAGTAGGCTGCTTGCATCATTTAAAGCTCTAAAAGGTTCACCACCACTGCTTTAGGGCTTGAAATGCTTCACTCCAAGCCCCCCTGGCCTTTAAGGTTTGTGTAGAGAAGCCTGCTCTAATCCTTTTTGATTTATCTGTGTATGTGATGTTTCCTTTCTCTAGCACTTTAAAAAAATTTTCCCTATGATGGACATCTGGAATTTTGAATGCAGTATAGAGTGGAGCAGTTCTCTCTTGGTAATAACTGTTTAGGGCTCAATATGCCTCACTTATTATCTATGTTATTTCTTTCTCTATATGAGGGGAGTTTTCTGGTATTATTTCTGTGAACATGTTTTTTTATATCATTCCCATTATCTTCTGATTTTTCACTTATTCTAATTATTCTTAGTCTTCTTTGCATCAACTAGCAATTTTTGGATTCATCTTTCATGCTGTTTATTGTTTTTAAGGTGTCACTGATTATTTGGTCTTTGAAGGCATCATTTTCTTCTAAATTTGTCCTCACAATGGTCAGTTCTACTGCTCATATTTTATTCAGTGTGCCTTTCAGTCTCTTGCATTTCTGTTTGAAACATTTTCATGGACTCTTATTCTTTGGTAAACTGCTCACTCATTTTGTATTGTTTTGTGTAGCTCATCTAGTCTTTTATAGATGCCTTTTGAAAGTTCCTGCATCTTTTTGGTTATTACTTCCATTGTCTGTTTAATTATATCTTCTCTAATCCTGCTAAGTACTTCCGTGATCTGCTTTCTAAGCTCCTCTGCTACCCTTTCAATTAAT